TACATTTATAAAAGGTTATATATTTTGATATTATATGTGGTTTACATTTAATAACTGGCTGAAAATTAATAAGAAAAAAATTTAAAGAAGGAGGAGAAAAACAGTGAAAATGAAAAAAGGAGGACAAATATGCTTAAGAACAAACATATACATGGCTGTCACAGTTACCCTGTGATTCGCCAAAATTACCTTTGCTTGAAAACCACTTACTTGGGAGATAATCTGTGTTTGACTTTAGAACTTAACCAACAGCAAAATTTGTGGAATGTCACTATGTAATTTATCTTCTCAACAGCATCCAAATCTTTTCACTTCTATTAAATGACTTTTTATGTGGAAACAGAATTGAATATATACTGCAGGTAGGCAGAACACTTTGGAATTTTACGCTTATTTCCCTCCTTTTTTTTTTTTTTTTTTTTCTGTTGCTGCTTGCCTCTGGTACCACAATGGCATATTTTGGGACTCTCAATAGTATCTCTCCGATCTCTAAGGCTCTGTTCATTTTTCTCCAACCATTTTTTTTTCTTTTTTCATCACAGTAATTTCTGTTCATCTATCTTTGGGATTAGTTCTTTTGTCTGCCACTTCCAATATATTGTTGAGCTCAGCCAATCAATTTTCCATTTCAATTATTGTGCGACATAGCCATTACGCTAACTGCTGGTTCCCAGCTTATTTCCCTCTTCACCTCAGCGATTTGATAAATTTCTTAAAGGAAGAATAGATTAAATGACCAGAATTTACACATATAGGCCTTTCTTTTGTTATGTAGGTAGACTTTTTAAATTTGTTGCAGTATGTGTGAGCTCACAGGAGAGAGACAGAGGGAAAGTGAGAAAGCAAACTGCCCTATGGAGTGATGGCCACACTGCAATCCCTTCTCCAATCTCCTCTCAGGATTTTGGGTATGCATGCACACACACTTGCTTGGAAAAGACACTGGGTCCTTGATTCAAGCTGCAGTTGACCACGTGGGATCCAGCTGCCTAAAGTACCATGCCACCAGCTGGTCCTAGATAAACTTTTTTTTTTTTTAAGAGGTTTTTGCTATAGGGCGCCTGTGCTCGCCAGACAGACAGAGACAGACAGAGAGACAGAAAGTGAGAAATCCCCCCCCGGGAGGATGGCCACGTCGCAATCCCTTCTCCTCCTTTCTCCTCTTGGGATCTTGGGCACGCACACACATGCGCCCGGCGTGAGTTTTAAGCCACCAGGTCCGGGACGCGAACCGCGGTCGACTATGTGGGAGTCCAGCATCATAGCCATTACGCCAACTGCTGGTCCCATAGATAAACTTTTTGTAATTATTCTTTTGTCCTATTAGCCTTAAAATATTTACTCAGTAAAGATCATTGGAGTATTGGAAATTCTGTGATTCCAAGAAATCATTTATGTTTAGAAAACCCTCAATGAATGTAGGGTACTTAAAGGCAAATACAATACAGTTACCCTAGAATATGCTTAGACTATTTCTTTAGAGTATAAATTATTATATTTGCTAAGTTAATTATTTTGCTTTTTAATTTTAAAAGTGCGCTTAAGTGTCAGGGAAATAATTTGTCCTTTGAATTTTATAACTAGTGACTTTTACTGTAAGATGTAGAAAAGTTACCCCCATCATTATTTTTAAGACAAACTTATAAGACAAATGTAATAGAAATAGATCAGTGGCACAGAAGAAAAAGATAGTAGAAGACATAAGTAATTCACAGATGAAAGAAAAACAAATGGTCTTGTTATTCAGGGAATACGAATTAAAATACCAACTAAACCTTTTTGTGTTGGTTTCTTCCTGAATTGGCAAAGATGAAAGACACTACTGTTGCTTATTGTGAGCACTTAAACTTGTACATCATCTCTGAGATTTGGTTTGGTGATATTTATTAATGATCGAATGTGTACATCTTTTGACTCTCTAGTTACATGCCCTTCAAGAAATTCATTTTTTAGAGATATTTTAGTATATTGTATGTGCACTTGCCAGAGAGACAGAAGATGAGAAATCATCCCTCAGAGAGGATGGCCATGCCACAGCCCCTTCTCCTCCATTTTCTTGGGATCTTAGGCATGCTCACACACGTGCCTCACATGAATTTTAAGTCACCAGGTCTGGGACTTGAACCATGGTCACCTATGTGGGAGTCCAGTGACATAACCATTATGCTATCTGCTGGTTCCAGTATTACAAACATTTTTTAAAGATGGAAACATATTATGTGAATGAAAAGAGTGTACATTGTTTTGCTCCAGGTGGTAAGACTAGGGTAGAATTTACTAAAATAAAGTTTCTTTACTTAAAGCACTTACCTGTTATTGGCCATTTTAGACATTAAACATGTGGAATATCCGTATAGCTCTTGCCACTCATTGATAATGTAATATAAAAAAATAAAAGTCACCTATCTTTCTTAGTGCTTCACAAATACTCGCAGAAGAAGATTGACATCATGGGCCCTGTTGTCTTCAAAGTGTCTTAGAAAGTGCTTTCAAAAGTTTTTCTAGTTGTTCATTGCTAAAAATAGATTTTAATGACTTGGATACTTTCTAGACCATTTGTTGTTTAACACAGGAATAGAATTCCAGAGATGGTGGTAAAGACTGTGTCCTTTGCCACAGAATTCAGTTAGGGGGCAAAAAAAGGACTATTGTATTCTAGGACTTGAAGGACAAAGGATACTACTTTATAGTGCAAGGAATAAGTGAAGAAGCCTGTTGACAAGAAAAATGGTAATAGAGCAGTAACTTGACATAATATTTAATTATATTTACTTCTCATTATCTAAAAATTATTTTCTATTTTACCACAGTATGTACTAGAAAGAGAACCAGGAGACTAGGCATTCAGTCTTGGATATACAGTACCATTAGTTTATTTAAGCACTTCTCATCTCAACAAGATTTAAACCTCTAGATAATTGCCAGCTTACTAATGCTCGTTACAGCTTCCCAGTTGATTTTACTTGTGAGTCATAAGTCTAGTATAGTGAATGTCTAGGAAATTTTACAGTAATGGAGTTTGTCTTTTTTTAGGAAGTTAGGTGGTTTTAAAAACAGGTGTAACTTGGTTTCTCTCTGGTGTGTGTGTTTGTTAGCCTACACTTCCCACTACATCTGGTCCTTTTTGTAGGAATTGAGAACAAAATTATTCTTAGTGTAGGGGAAAGTTGAAGATGTATGTATACCATGGAAAAGCAACTAATGGAGAGTGTGTTAACAAACAGGAATAGAGTACAGGCAAAAGTGGCCCAGCCTGTATAGGAGTGCAAGTGGTAGGGCACAGCTACATGGGAAGCCTGGGTTCTGTTTCTGGACCGGCCTGAACAGGCCAGCTGCAGTGCTTAAAATCCTAGCTAACAGAGGATAGGACAGAAGGATCTTGATGTGGCAAGATCCTATCAAAAAATACCTATTCACTCCTTCTCTTTCTCTCATTAAAAAGCGGGGGGAAGGGGAAGCCGGTAGTGTGGTGGTTAAGGTACTGGATTCTGACATGGCTGACCAGGGTTCAAGTCCTGGAACTGGCAGCTTGAAAATCACACCAGGCACGTGTGTATGCATGCCCAAAATCCCAAGAGGAGAATGGAGGAAAAGATATTCCAACCTGGCCATCCCCCCTTGGGGGGTGATTTCTCTTTCTTTCTCTCTGTCTCCCTCTGGCAAGTGCACATACCCTATGACCAAAAAAAAAAAAAAAAGGGAAGAAGAAAGGAAAAGGTAAAACTATTTGGCCAGGAAGGTGATAGGGAGTGGAATCAGGAATCAAAAGCAATGACATTGATTGGTATTGGCTAATACCTCCCTTGTTATGAGGTGATAAACAGAGTAAAGCTACAGATTTCTTTTTGTTTTTTCATGTGTCACATGAGCAGAGTTAGAAAGTGGTCATTTTCTTGGCCTTGAAAAATGACGTCATCCAGGGGAGAACCATTAGTGACTGAGGAGAATAAAAGGGGTAAGAACTTGAGGACAATGTGGAGAGCTAATAGTAGACTTAGTTAAAAATGAATTATAGTGATGATCAAAAGGATTGCCTAGGTCTAGAGGCCCATTTCAGGGTGGAAATAATACATTTTTAATCTTTATTATTCCCACTTAAGAAACAGTTTGCTGTGGTAGTATATACTGTTTCCACCAGGTACTCAGAGGAAGAGAAAGGTATGCCTAGGCCTACACAGGACCCCTTGTGTGCTATGACTGTATACTGCTCCCACTTTCCTTAAGTCTTAATAGCATTTTTCAGTGATTTACAAGATGTACTGATGGTGCCAGGGGCCAGAATGCTGGAGTTCTACCGAATCCACTGTAGTTTTTTGGGGGTATATTAGAGAAAAAATATCTTGGTTAATTATGGTCATATATATATTATTTGACTAAAAATCAACTTTAAGTGTTCAGTGGTCATTAAAGCATTTATTTGTAGCAGAACTTTTCAGTCACTATGTAGTCTTAACTAAGTTAGAAAATTATTTAAAATATGTTATGGCAACCTAAAAGTGGTAAAAGAATACATTTATTTTTGTGCATTTTAGGGTTTCTTTTCTCCTTGAAGGATGCTTTTCCAACGAAGAGGGGTTTCTCCCTATGAAGAGTATTCACAATTGATGGATTCTAGTTTCTTGTTTAAGTACAGTAATGTGCAACATTGGCTGTAAAGAATAGTTTGGCTTATCATCAACCCTTTCCTTTTCTAAAGGTAGTAAAAGGTCTGTCAGATAACTAGTGGTGGCAATGTCTGGGGTGGTCATTTTTAGAGCTGTTAGAATTGTCATCCTTTGCGATCAGTCTTCTCTGGGGAGAGATGGCTGCATGCTCTGTTCTATTTGGGAAACCTTTCTCTTTTCATACAGTGGGCTTCAGCTCTCCTCAGTTTTTGCATGTTGTATAAAGTTAAGAGAAAACAAAAAGTATAAAAATTATAATATAAAGGCTTAAAGACCTGGTGTTATATACGCGAAAGGTTGTTTGACAGACTTAAACTTTTCTTGTTCTCTCTCCAGAAAACAGAATATGTATCACAGCAAGAGTTTCATTGGGCGTAAGAAAGTGTACCTAGAGTATGTGCTGGGGTACTGACATGCATCAAAATGTAGTAGGATATATGAATTCAGTTTGTTATTATAATTTTGTCAAGCTTGTTATTTACGTTTTAGTATTATCTGAAAAGTTTAATTAATTAGATTAGGTCCTAAGGGTTAGTTCCAACTACTTTATTAGACTGATACTTTAATAGGGAATTTTGCTCTGATGATGATCCCTCATTGGGGTTTATACTTTATTGTTTACATAGAATATTGAAATAGGCTCAATGGTTCATTGACAAACAAATACTGTGAATTACTGATGCTGTTGATACAGAAGTAGGATTGCCCTACAAAAATCAGAGCTTTTATAAGAAAATTAACCCTTTGGGGTTATTGTTATTAAGTATTTAGGAATTATCTGAGAATTAAAATTTAATTGGCTTTTCTTCTCAGATACTTTTATACTTAATGATTATATATGTTTGGGGACCTATTTCTTTTGCAATAGTTTACACACTTCTGTAGCCCAATATTTCAAAGTTTCAATTTGAATAAATATTTAAACAAAGATACCTTTAAAACATTCAACTAGTTTATAACTTTTTGGAGTCATAAGTTTTTTGGTGGGGGTATCTCTTTGAAAGTCTCAAGGATATTGGCTCTCCCCAAAATGTACAAAAATAAATTGTA